GTTGATTATTACGCCATAGTGATGCGTGGATCGGCTCTGATAGCACCCGAATCAGCATGTACGCATCATCCAGCCGTTACAACATGATTGAGCTAGCAAAGCAGTTTTGTGTTGATATGTGTGGTATTTATTCAGTTTTGGGAAATCACGATGTCTCGAAAGCATCAGTGGCTGCAGCTGACAGGGACAGCTAACGTTAACACTAGCAGCAAAGCTAACATCAGGACATCATCTGTTAAAAGCCTCCCGTTGTCTGATACGACATGAAACTACTCCAGTTAGCTCAATCATGTTGTAACTAAGACATCCACTGGAAAAAATATTTTTTTCGAGGACCGTTTAATGAGTTATTACTGACACCGCTAACGGCTAACGGCTAACAGCTAACGGTTAGCCCAGCTAATCTACGATAACCATGTTAATTACTAAACGTGCACACAGAAATAGTAATGTTTGTTCAATCATTGTGTTTATAGACTTTACAAACATCAGATTAGTCTAAACGGTGATACAGTGGCGTGAAAAATGTGAGATATATATATATAGCTAAACTCAACAAGGTAAACAACAAGGCGATTCCCATTTACACAGAGGTCAAGAGTGCTGGACCGGAAGTGTCGCACAAAAAAACGGAAGCTGGCTGCGTTCTGTCTTGCCTCCATGTTTCCATGAAAAATAAGGTGGATACTGTACTGAATAAAAATGCCTGCAAGTGTTCATATATCTTAAACTATTATTACTTATTACTGTTGTTGTTGTTGTTGTTGTTGTTGGTAGTGTGGTTTTATATTAGATTTGATTTTTGATATGTTGTCATTTGTTTCTTATAATTTTATTAGCTATGGCCAGTTGAAAGACTTGTTTGAGTGCCACTCTTTTTAATTTTGTTTTACTTAAATTGCACCAAACAGGATTATCAATTATGCTTCTGAGCAATATGAAAACCTGTTGACATATAGTGTCTTTGGCTGCTGAGTTGGTACAGAGTTGGCACCATCAAAAACAGAACAGGCCTTTAGTTACATTACCTTGATACAATTTTACACTGAATGAGAGGTTAAACTCTACTGTAACATGAAGGCTCTATCTTGGTATTGGAACACGACACAGACATAGTGTGGGACATAATGTGAGCGCACTGAGACGTGTTTTGGACATATTTATATTGAAGCATTCAGAACGAGGCTTTCAGTTCGGTACGCATTACAAACTGAGCGATACATTGAACTATCCTATTACATTTGGAAAATAAAATACACATCTTGGTTATGCTAGCTTGTTGGAATATGGTCAGGAGTGGTATGACCAGGTCTGGCATTTGACACCACGTTGGTTTTGCTGTGAATTATCAGGGCTCGCTGATTTGTAGCAGCCGACATGACACCCTCCTCTGTGGTGAAAAATGCAGGCTTTATGGACATGCTTAATTTATAAGAGCCCTTCATGTTCCTAAATGAGCCCATTTCAGCCAGGCTGTAACCCCTGCTTTTGACAAAAAAAAAACAAAACAAAGCCCAATATATGATGTTAGATTTAATACATTTAAAAGAAACTGGCATTTCAGACACATAATTATTTCTTTTGTTTTTATTGTTTATAACTACAATATTATATTTAATATTTCCTAAGGAGCTGTTTTTGCTTCATAAGCCTCTAAGAAGACACCCTAGAAGATGGGTCACTCAGATATAGCTAGCAGACATAGCTGAGTTAAAATAACTGGAATGAATAAATAATAAAATAAATGAATAAATAAAAAATCTAGGAAATGTTTTTTGCTGTATCAAACTACTACACAACTGTATCGACCAAATCGTGAATTTTGCGAACCCTTACACCCCTAATATGTATACATACTACACACACACACACACACACACACACTGTAATATGTGCAATGGAGCCCCCAGAGAGTTCTAATTGACCTATGGCTAAGTCCCGCCCTCAAACGCGATGAGCCAATCACAGCGCGTATAGCACTGCACACTCAGACATTCTCTGCCTTATGAACTTTTTCTGAGATTTGAAGTTTAAAAATGGTCAAACCATAGACATATATACATAGACGACGCATCGAGTGCCTGAGCGCGTCCTCGCCAGCCGCCATCTTGGATGGGTCTCGCTTCGCCTCCACAGTGCATTCACTTCTATTGAGGAAGGATCTGTATGCACAAGTAAAATAGAATAACTCACTGAATTTTCAACTGATTTTCACGAGGTTTGGTTTGTTACAAACGGCACACATTAATTTATGATACAGGATGCTTTCGTATATTAAAAATGCGGGATTTCATGCTTTAATACTCTCTGCAGATAGCAACAGCAAGTTATTTAGGTCACAACACAGTTATTTTATTGACCTCAACCCCAGAGTGCGATGGATATATATATATATATA